GAAAAATGTTTTTAAGGTATATGCAGATTTAAGTCTAGTTTAATAATATAATATTGTTACGACGACTGGGCGTAGGTTAAAACTCAACAATTTATTTCTTATTAACTCTAATTTACACGACTAATAACCATTACAGCGATTATAAAATAATTCCGGCGCAACGTCTCTTGACACAACTAGCTGAATAATAATTCATTCCCGAAGGCGGCCTCTATTTAAACCCATACTTCGGCGATCCAGGTCTTTCTCGATTTGGGTATTCGCGACTTCCGCTTCCAGGCTTTTCGAACGTCACTGGGCCCCGTCACCAACGATTGCCGTCCGTCCTAGAAAGTTCTCGACGGTCCATAGGGGTCACACCGGGGTGGCGTATGGGTTTATTTCGTAACAATATTAAATTTCTCAGAAAGTAATCAGACATTATTTTGTACCAGTTTTTTAGGAAACGTTGCACCCCCACCCCCTCTTTTTGCCTCAGTGGTGGGGTATAACCGGGTACTTACTTCATAGAGTAAAACATGGGAAAAATAAGATAAAAAACAAATATCTTTAATTTCAGACAAAATATAATGCTACATTTTAGTGCATTGAACAGTAAAAAAGGCACTCTAGGAGCAAATATCGCACACAAAATTGTCATCCTCTTCTGTAACATTGCGATACTTACAGTATAAGCATTGTGCATCACTTTCAGAATCTTCTTGGGAGGAAGAAGATTCTTTATGATCGCGACTAGATCGTTTAACGGCTATGATCGTCTTATGCTTTTTTCCCCATTTTTAGTTTTTTAGGAAGAATAGGGCTGCTAAAATGCCTTTTTTTTTCTTTGGATCCAATTCTACTACTTACTACTAATTTCCAAGTCTACTTTATAAGGCGTAGAAGTGAAAACAACTGTTTTACCTTTGCGCCTGCCGTTCGTTTGCTATTCATTCCTTTCTGAATGAGGGGGTGGCTTGAGAGTTGCAGGTGAAACGGTGAATGACGAAATTAATTAACTAATTTTAGAAGTTGAAGATGTATAATATCCTTAGAAGTGGAAGCAATAGATGTTTTTTCTGGACTTCTTAAAGAAAGTCTTTTATCTCTCTGTAATAATCCATAAAGCCAGTCTCTGCCAGCGAGTTTTGTTTCATTCTTGAATGGATGTTGAATGTTGTTTTTAACAGCTAATTCATAAGTTAACTTTGAAGTTCCTTGAAAGTTAAGCTATAGAGTCGGCTTTCTAACAGCAAAATATATTCCACCAAACTCATTTTCTTGCTCATCTGAAAATACTGTTTTATATCGGCTCATTCCTTTTTTGCTATTTTCCTCCAAACTTGTTCCTTCCGAGCTTTCTTTACTCGATCTTCTAGAGTACTTTGTGGTACATTATAATATTTCGAAGTTTTTAAGTAACCCATTGTGCCAGACAATACTGCATTTATTGTCCCTAAGATGCTAGACTGTCTCTGCGTTTTCCGTTGATAATTTTTTGGCATGTTTTGGTTCTGAAACACAACGTGTTGGATACCCATCGCTGGTGGCATGAGTTGTAGGGGTTGTATAAACGGTACCCGGTTTGATCCGACTACCCGGTTTTGCACGACTTACCCCAATCCATGTCTTATGTTAGATGAAATGGCTTTGAAGAAACAAACTGATTTCAACGGGAAGGAAGGTATTAAGCTTTTGTATAATACAGTATTTAAAAATCTTTATTAATTATTATATCACATGTTTTATTTAGAAATAAGAATAATCCAACTCCACTCCAATTTCGAAGCTCGTCTAGAAAATGCATTTTGGAAAGAATGAACTCAAACACTCTTGGCAATTGGGAAGTGAAATGTCAAGACATGAAACCGTCTGATGCCTTGACACAGGAAGACAATTTTGAAAACTTAAACGTTCTTCAGCCTTTGTCAAGTTATGCATCACATGTGGTTTTTCCGCGAAAAAAGTTGATAATAGTATCAACTGCGAAGAATGCATTGAATTATTATTTAATATTGACGTGTCTCATGGTAAGGATGAACTTACATTAATAATATATTATAGGAATTCATTGAAGAATCCTTCGTACTGTCTTAAAACCTATGCAAGCACGCAGAGAGAGTCATAAAACTTCTTTTGCCATTAACAAATGATAAAAATTTGGTAACTAAAATGTTTGTCTTAACTTTGAGAAGTACTAGCATACATTTTTTTTTCTGATACATACGAACATTTGTTTAGTATGGATCAATTGAATGTAAATAATTCTCATTTTAATTTTGAGAAATTATTTGACTTTCAAAATACGTCATGAATGCCGCTTAAGTACTGAGCCTGAAAAAGGTATCTGTATATTTAGGTATAGGTATATGTTTAAGACAAAAATTTACGAAATTAATTTTGTTCCAAGGACATAAAACTGCATTTTGTGACCTGAAATTCTCTGCGTTCAAATTTCGTGCACTCTCGATTATAAGCAATATGGCGGTCGAAAAACTTCACGTTATTCCTGACACAGCACACAGCCAGTCTATGTAATTAAAGTCTCTGGATATTGTTACGTTGAACGGTGAATAATAGGCGTAGGTTAAAACTCAACAATTTATTTCTTAATAACTCGAATTTACACGACTAACTATTGCAACGAATGATATAACAATTTCCCGCTTTTTGAGAAATTGCTATAACAAAACACTAAAATCACCAACTCTAACTTTTTCTTGTGTCCAATTACCTCCTCATGAGATAACTAGAGCTTTTCGAAATAACACTAATTGCTCTGAATTATGTTCCGTTATTTCACTATATCGTAGGTACATTAACTTGTTCTAATGAGCACTTCTGCAAACTAGTCACCTCTCATGACTCTTTACTCTCGAAGTACTCACTTTTACATTAACTTGCTCCACTGAGCACTTCTGAAGAACTAGTCACCTCTCATGACTCTTATCGAAGTACTCACTTTTACATTAACTTGCTCCACTGAGCACTTCTGTAGAACTAGTCACCTCTCATGACTCTTAACTATCGAAGTACTGACTTTTCTTAAACTAACTTAGAATTATAAAGACTCGCATTCTCCCTCTCAATCATACAAAGTCCCAATCATATTCAAAATATTCATTCGACAGTTGATCCTACAACCAATCTCATTTAAACTAAGTCGTAACCGATATTGTCAAATCCGTTGTAGAACCGTCGTTTCCCAATTCGCTCTGGTCATAATTATGCACTAATTGTAGAAAAGTTCGTTTGTAGTGATTTCATCGTTTTCAACGGTTTTAACGAACTCTTCCAAAAATATCCTAATCAAAAATATTATAACACGATTATGTACAGAAATTGTTCTGGCGAATTTCACTGGACGCTCTTGACTCAACTAACTGAATAATCCGTTCCCCAAAGATGGACTCTATTTAAACAGCACGCGGTCCTTCTCGAAACCCTACGTCACCGCTTCTAGACTCCTCTGGAACCCCCATTCGCGACTTCCGTTTCCAGGCGTTTCTTTAACGCTGCGTCGGTCAGTCGCATTGAGGATGAATCATCATCGGGATAAGACCAGAGAGTTCTCGAAGGCCATAGGCGTCGTACCGGGGCGGCGTAAGGGTGTATTCCGTAACAGTATGCAAATTTAAGTTGGCAATAATAAATCTTTTAAATCAAGCACCACATTCGGTTGGTGAATTTCGTGGCACTAAATTTAAAACATAGTGAAAATTAAGTTTTATTATACCCAGATGCTGTTTCCAGATGTGAACAAACAGTACGGAGTATCGATCCTGTTTTAAACTGGGAATATTCGATGGATGAATAAATATAAGTAGGTATTTCCTTTCTCCATGAGATATTCTATGAAATTAGTTATTTTCCTTCGTGTTAAATATAACTCGCCAGTTTATATGTATTTTATTATGATTATGAATGATGTGAACGTGAACGCATAAAAGTATAGTTGGTTGACGATATTATTAAAATAAATGTTATTTTAACGTTGTTTCGCTGTGTTTTTCCCTGATGTTAAATATAATTTTAAATCAGAATGGAACATTTTTAATTTAAATCTTTAAATATAGGTTGAAAATCAATTTGTAACAATAATGTACTTTTTTCTGTTGTCTCAATTTATTTTCCTTCTACAGGAACAAAAGCTTTAATTTCACTTCTAATTTTGAAAATTTTTAATTGGCAAAATAGGTACCTAATACAAACAGACCACAGCGCATGATTTTCATTCAAATACGTAGATTTTTGAAAAAATTGATGAGAAGGAGTGAAAACAATTTCAACGAGGGAATACAAACTTTGTGTGTTCCTAGAAAAATCAAAGACTTGTATGTAGGTAAGGCTAAAAAGTAACACTACATACCCACTTGGGGGTTCAAAAAAGTAGTTTGATGCTACAGTTAATACTGCTACTTACTAGAAAAACCTAAATATACTTTCCTACTATAAAACTGTATGGTTTAATAAAATTGCCTTTAAAGAGATAGGTAGCAAAGTTTCGTCCCTATTCACTTCGGTTTTATGTGTTTCAATTTTAGCAATTGAGTGAACCTAAAGATTTCCACTACGTGTAGGTCGTTTTTGAACACGGCACTTAAGTAGGTATTTAATTTTTACATTTTCTTACTAAAACAAATAAAAATACGTCTAAGCTGGTGTCGAAAGGCACTTAAATACAAAAACATTAATAAAAAATAACAAAAATTAACATTAATGGGATTGCGTAGTTAGGCCTACAAGGAGATGATTTCTTGCTAAAAGCTTTGAGACTTATCATATGCATAGATATAATCAGTATGCACTTCTTGTATGTACTTTTGTGGTTGTATAAAAAATCTGTGTTAAACAATTTTTCTACATTACAAATTTGATAATGAAATCTCCCAAACTACCTTTTAAAAATGATCATTGACGAACTACCTACAAGTACATATGAACTGCCATAAAGTTATCATTTAATATCAGCGTTGTAACAACAGAAAAAAAACAGTAAATAAACACATCCACTTGCCACCCGTCTTCAAATAGATGACATAATTCCAGTACGTTCCAGTGGCATCGAGAGGGGGATGCGAAATTCTGGAACATTCTAGAAAATTATAACCTTATATAAAGAAGTGAGCGAGCGCTGGCGCAGTTAGTTATCTCACAAATGCGAGGAAGTGCTGTGAAATATTTTATTTTAAAACAGACGTTTTGGCATTTATTTGTTCGTGCATAATACGCAAAATAGTACAACTCAGTGCATTTCAAGTGACAGTACAAAATAATGGGGAAGGACTACTACAAAATTTTGGGACTTTCCAAGGGCGCCAGTGATGATGACATCAAAAAGGCGTATCGGAAACTAGCCCTAAAGTACCATCCCGACAAAAACAAGGCTAAAGAAGCAGAAGAACGCTTCAAGGAAGTGGCAGAAGCCTACGAAGTTCTATCTGACAAGAAAAAACGTGACATTTACGACGCCTACGGCGAAGAAGGCCTAAAAGGGGGAATTCCAGGAGATTCTGGAACAGGAGGCACCGGAGGTTTCACATACACCTACCATGGGGACCCCAGAGCCACTTTCGCGCAATTCTTCGGAAATGCGAGTCCTTTCGAGGCCTTTTTCAGAGGCAATCAGACTATGTTTGCCTTTGGAGATGACGATATGGATGCGGATCCGTTCATTAACATCTCCTCAAACAGGGGCCCTGGTGGAGCCTTCAGGAGTCAGTCTTTCAACTTCCAAGGAAGCAATCCTCACAGAGGTAAAGAGAAACAGGATCCGGCCATTGAACATGATTTGTATGTGTCGTTGGAAGATATAGCCAAAGGTTGTACTAAAAAAATGAAGATAAGTAGGAAAGTGCTTCAGCCTGATGGATTGACGCGAAGTGAAGATAAAGTTTTGACAATCAATGTGAAACCAGGATGGAAAGCAGGGACTAAAATCACATTTCCGAGAGAAGGTGATCAAGGGATTAATAAAATACCTGCAGACATCGTATTTATTATCAGAGATAAGCCACATCCTTTATTTAAACGTGAAGGCAGCGATATTAAATATGTAGCTAAAGTTTCACTTAAGCAAGCTCTGTGTGGATGTACAATAGAAGTTCCAACGATGAGTAACCAGAAGATTCCCATCCATTATACCCATGAAGTGATTAAACCAACCACAGTGAGGAGGCTGCAAGGATACGGACTACCTCTACCAAAGGAACCCACAAGGAGGGGAGATTTAATTGTTAATTTTGATATTAAGTTTCCAGAAAACCTTTCACAGTCAGTTAAGGACATACTGTATGATACTTTGCCTAATTAAAGTTGTTAAGTAGTATATAATTATAATATAAGCTGTACGTTCTAGTACAAAGTACCTTTATTTGATTTGTTAAGCTTTAGAGGTTTATATGCAATCTCGTGATTGTTTTGTATTATTGCAACATTCGTTCAGCTATGTATGTTAAAGTGTATGTTGGTTTTTATTTATGGAAATAAAATATTCTTTTTATTACTTTGCAGCGTAATGTTATTTTCCCAAACAATTTAATCCTTTGCATTGGTGGTTATCTGTCAAACAGTTGTCACTTTTGACATTGACTCCGTCAACTACAAACGTCAAATAATTATCACAAATTCTCAAATTTAAACATCCAATATTATTATTCAAAACGTTGCAAAATGTATGAGTGACAGTTGTTTTTTTCTATCACGGAACGAATGTAGACAACATCACGACTTTTCTTTGAAATTTACAACTAGTTTCAAAAAGGTTGAAGTTTACATTGCCATGAATTGTTTATTGATAAAAAGTGACAGTACTTAGACAATAAATCCGGAATTATATAAAACAATCATTTTGATACCACTGAAACAATAAGTGCTGATAACTATATTTACGAAAACTTAGCTGTAACAGTCACACAAATGAAGTGAGGTTAAGATGGATAAATCCGAAAATGTGTGCCCTTTACTCAAAAATCCGGGTGTGTATAACCCTGACACGATAGATTTAGTCAATGATACGAAAGAACGGAAATACTGGTTACCCTGCCTCGCAAATATGGTAAAGAAATTTGTTGGTAAAGCCAGTTTTTTAAATCCAGATTATCCCGAAGCGGCTGAAAGTGCGGAAATTTGCTTTCAAAAATTTCATGAACTTGTAGTTAAAGCTGTGGAGGATCCCAGGTAAGATTTACCCCTTTAGAGGTACTTGGTTAATATGTGATATTTGGTAGTATTTTAGAGCCCTTAAGTATTCGTACTTTACTGGAGTTTAATGAGGACAATTTACAAGCCAATAATTTTAAAGATGCGTGGTATACACAGAAAGTGTCAGAGAGCAGTGCCGCGCTGAAAGAATTTAAAGATCGAATAGATTTTATTGATTCCATAGCAGACTTCGAAGCCAGATGGTTAGAAATTGTGACAGGTGTTTTAGCAGGAAATGTATTCGACTGGGGTTCTACTGTAGTTGCTGACATATTAGAGACATCCACAAACTTTGGTTTTACACAAGCCATGAGCACCATCGAGAAAAGACCTTGGTTTAGAGACAATTTGGACAATTGGATAGACAGAATTAAGGTAAACAAACACACAAGATAATATAACACGCACGTGATTATTTATCTAAATTAGTTACACAGTACATAAATTACAGTCATTTTAATATAAACATGTTCATTGCAGAAGGAATCCTACAAAGAAGCAGTCATTTTTGTTGATAACGCCGGCGTAGATTTCATTCTTGGAATTTTACCACTGGTTAGAGAATTTTTAAAACAAAACACTAGAGTCATTTTAACTGGAAACACGTCGCCAGCTTTAAATGATGTTACATACGATGAATTAAAACTATATTCACAGGAAGCAGCCAAAAATTGCCCGATTATTGAAAAGGCTATTAATACAGATCAGCTTGTAATGGTGGAAAATGGTCAAAAAGGTCCCTGTTTAGATTTGGCCAATTTATCACCTGGTATGTGTGGACTGCACTCATAACTTAAATTAATGTATTAGTTTTAGAACTGTGCCAAGTGATGACTTCTGCAGATTTGGTTGTTCTAGAAGGCATGGGACGAGCAGTGCACACAAATCTATATGCTAAATTCACTGTGGACAGTGTAAAATTAGCAGTGTTAAAAAATGAGTGGTTAGCAAAAAGTTTGGGAGGACAGCAGTTTTCTGTCATTTTCAATTATGAAACAGCAACTTAGTTAGCTAAGATGTTATACTGTGATCAATCATAGTATTAAGGACTTTGCAAGAAAATCAATAAGTGTTTTTGTAATATGCAGATGTCATCCAAAAGTGGGTTGTTGAAAACATAGGCAATCAGATCAGGTGTACAGAGTTAACTGCCACACAAGAAATTTTTAGTTTAATAACAGTTGTAAAATCTTTCAGAAAATTGTCAATAATCAGTTTGTATTTTGTTTTAAAATTTCAAACTTATACTTATTCCTTAAAACTGATTACTGATAGTTAACAATTGTAAATTATTTCTCGGTAGAGTACCTAGATAAATTACTTATCACAAAAACCTCTTGTGATAAACAATGAGTTCAAATTAAATTATTAGATATTCTGTTTAATAGATTATTTAAATTAAATGTTACTATTCTTTACGTTTTGTTATTTTTAATAGTAATAATATGTTTGAGGGATAAGAAGTACTTTCATTTTAAAACATCATTCTTATCACTAATCAGCAACCAGTGACTGGAAATGTAGTCAATAATTTATTAATTTACAACACCAGACAAAAAAATGTCATTTGTGCATCAATGTCAAATACGTCAAATTTCCAACAACGTATGTCAAATTGACAAAACATCTCTGGCGATAAACTCGTGTAAATATTGTGCACAATGAAAAGATCTTTGTGATGTTTGTTATATGATATGATAAATAAATGCGTATGCAAACTCCAAAAAGGGTAAGTGGGCATATTTAATTTCATCGAATCATTAATAGGAGTTCAATTTAAAAACCTAACCTCAAAGTAGAAAGAAACCGTGATTTGATTACAGTTCACTTTAACAAAGAATAAACGAAATACGTGCCAGTAAACGTTAAAACAGTTTTAATATTTCAGATATGGAATTTGCAGAACATATAGCAACCCCTAAATTGGATGGAGTAATCTTACATAGCGCTTTCCATGATCCTGTAGATGGAACATTGTGTGTAACAGGTCATCATTTAATTCTTTCCTCAAGGAAAGAAGATGTGCAAGAATTGTGGGTAAGTCCTTTACAAAAAATTTTAAATTCTAGAGTGTGCATTTATTCAAACATTGTAGCTTCTACACCACTGCATCGATTCTGTTGAAAAGAAACAAAACAGTAGCAATTCCAACCAAAATGGGGGTTCTATTATACTTAAATGTAAAGACTTCAGATTAATACAGTTGGATATTTCTAATACAGAAGAATTCTTGAATGTATACGCCTCAATTGAAAAGTTATCTAATTTGGAAAGACCAGAGTCCCTCTACCCATTTTTTTATCGGCCTATGTATAACATATTAGAAGACGGCCATACATTATTTAAGTTAGAAATCGAATATGCAAAGTTATTGGCTAGTGAAGAATGGAGAATCTCTCATATCAATAAAAACTACACAGTTTGCCCTAGTTATAGTTCTAGTGTAATTGTACCAAAATCTATCGATGATGACGTTATTGTGGCGTCTGCTAGTTTTCGAGATGGTGGACGTTTTCCAGTGTTGAGCTACAGACATGATAATGGAGCAATTTTATTGAGGAGTAGCCAGCCATTGTTAAACAATAATAACAGAAGGAGCAGGGCTGATGAGAAAATGTTGAATGCAATTTTAGGAAGTGGAAAAAAAGGCTACATTATTGATACTAGAAGCACTAATTATGTTAGTCATTGTAAAGGGAAAGGCGGGGGCACGGAACCTGATGCCCATTATACTCAGTGGAAAAGAGTACACAAACCACTAGATAAAATTGCCAAGTGTGATGGCTCACTGTTAGATGGCTTGTCTAAACTTGTAGATGGTAAGTAATATTTTAATTTCATCTCAATACTTCATTATACAGTAGCACTAGAATTAAGTACAGATGAAGACAAAATTTAAGTTAATTGTCAGCGATAAAAAAAAATCACTGAGGATGTCCGCATCTATTTTTTTCTGAAATTGTCAGAATTTGTCAATAGTTTGAAAAATACGCTTTAATTTTTTACATTCTAATATGTCTAATGGCACATTTTATTCTGTATATGTTGCATAATAACAAAATCTGCCATTGTACATATAATGATAATAAAGTAAGATTTTAATGATTTAAATTATACAAGCAAATGCGATTTTAATGTCCATGTTAAACAAGAATATTATAATGTCATTAGATAAATAGACCGGGGGGCAAAGAAATTACTTTTGGGCGCTTTTTCTCTAATAAGTTACTAAATTGGTGTGGTATTTATTTAGTCTGATTTAACAGACAAAATGTAAAAAATGGTAAACATACATTATTTAGAATTATATGTATAAAAAAACTGAAAATTGATATATACAGGATGAATCACTAAGCGTGCGGTTCATGATATCTCATTATTAGAAATTGAAAAAAAAGTTAAAGACCAAAATTGCACAGTTTTTTGATGAGCATCTTTAAAGTAAAATTATTTTCAACTGTATAAAATGTTCTATTTTTAAGACGTAACTCAGCTAAATTTTTTTAATGAAATACACTACATATGTATTGTTACATATTCTGATTGACCTGTTTTATAATCGCAATTTATTTTTGAAATTCTATTCGATTGTTGTCAAATTTTGTATTTGTATTGAGAATACCATATAGATGGTAAAACGCTAACCAAAATTTGTCTAATCATCCCCACCAATAATGTGATGACGTCACTTCAAAATTATGTTTTAAAGTTATGATAAGCATGATACATTTTTAATCAAAATATATTTGCTTATCCCCTCCAAAAAATTGATGACGTCACCTCAAAATTTTGCCCGATAAGTCCTATCTAAAATGTCCGAAATACGATGAGTCTATGCTTGTGATTTATCATTCCATTCATATTTTTACTTTCCGAGTAATAGTAATCGAGTCCATTGGACGAATTGCCACTTTTATGTTTTCTTGACGTTTCATAACCCTTACGGTGTGAAAAAAGTAGTCTCCCGTTTCCGTTCGTCCGTCTGTCTGTCTGTCTGTCTGTCTGTCTGTCTGTCTGTCTGTTTGTATCCATTTTTATCAGACACGTAATCTCCGAAACTGCTGGACCGATTGTTGCCAAATTTTGTATGTACTTATGTTAGAAATATGAAGATGGTTAAATGCTAGCCAAAATTGGGCTAATCATCCCCACCAACAATTTGATGACATCATCCCAATTAACCGTATTTTAAAATGAGTTGAATGTTTTATAAAAATACTCCTACATTTGTAGTATACGAATCCGCTTTCAGTTTTTTCGCTTAACGTTGAAACTTTCGTAAAAACAATTGCACGGTATAATAACGTTGTCTTTGTTTTTTTTTTTTTAATATACATATAGAGTTTTCTTTCAACAACAGGAAAGTTAAACATGTTTTCAGTTTCTTGTTGGGAAAAGAAAACTTCGTATATTAAGAAAAAGTGGACAAAATATAAGCCCCACCCACCCACCCCTTCTCAATTGTGATGAATGCTTTATTCATCGTGAGCTGAAGGGCGGAGTTTAGTTGCAAAATCCTGATTTTTCTAAAAGAAATTACCCTTATGAAATATGTTTTTAGAAGGGTTGAATTTTTTAGAGAAATATGGATGTTACAACTAAACTCCTCGTCTGATTAGAAAAGAAAAACTTATCACAATTGAGATCGGGGCGGGTGGGCGGGGCTTATTTGTTTTGTTTTTTTTTTATTCTTTATATACGTTGTTTTCTTTCAATATTTTTTTGGCAATAACAAGAGATATTATAATATGTCAATGTATTATGCAATAATTTTGGACTGTACTCCTAATGTGGTAAGTCACGTAGAATAGCATGTACTTTCTCATTTTTTTCGAAAAACTGAAGAAATAAGAAACTGAAAAATCTAAAAATTGAAAACTCGTGATATTTCAAATCGAAAAACTACAAAATCTAAAAATTTAATGAGTTACATAAATAGTTAAATTGAAGAAAGAAAAAAGAAAACCTGAAAAATTGCAAACCGAAGAAACTGAAACGAAAATTGCACATGGAAAAATTAAAAATTGAAAACTTGAGAAACTCAAATTGAAAAATTGCAAAGTCTAGAAATTGAATTAAAAAGTTGAAAAATTGAAAAATTTAAAGTTGAAAACTAGAAAAAATGCAAGTGAATAAGCTGCGGGAGCCACTGGCGTTTACTTTATAGTGGTTATCAGAAAACAAAGATCGCAAAAAAAAGATAATTTTTTTAGAGAAGTGGGATTTATTTGGCTGCACTGCAGGGGCGAGGGAAGTTCTGTTGGAATAACATTTGAACAATTTTTTGGATTTGTTTATACAGGGTGACTAAAAAAAATTAATGAACGCGTGAATTTATTTTATTGCTTTAATCAGGAGCTGCAAAACCGAATGCTTTGAAATCTTGGAAATATTTAAAAGTTAACATAAGCATGGTCAATTTTTGATCAAAATATATTTGCCCAAAGAGGTAGTAATAAAATACAGGGTGTTCTATTTGAAAAAACTATACCGATATTTGAAAATCGTGATCATTTATAGTTTTTCTATAAACATTCGATACATTAAAGTTTGATTTAATTACTACCACAAGAAAGCGCCTATGTCGGTTTATCTTTTCATAAAATATTGCAACATAAATCTTAAAAATAACATTATCGCGATTTTTTTGCGAACCCTTGCATTACCAAAGAAGTTCAAGAAAATTGGAATAACGTGTTAACATCGCAACGGAATTTCAGAAATGACACTTCGTATAGTCAAAAATAAATTTAATGTATGCGACTCAATGAACGGTACAACTTTGGTCTCTGACTTTTTTTTCTGTCTTTAACAATAATTTATAAGATTCACCCTGTAGATACATATTTTTTTATACATAAACCATGAAAAATAATGGAATCGACGTTTGCTTTTTGTGCATTCGCCGCACAAATAAAGGTTAAATAAAATCTTTGCCAAACTTAATCCTGAAGTTTGAAGATGGTCAAAACCAAAATGACAACTTCAAAAATAAAGCAAGCAAAAATACTTCAGAAACCTAACAAAATTCGTTGCCTAAACACAATTGGTGAGTTTTTACAGTTCAAAACTGGTTTGTATACCAATATTTCGATAATGTTCTTATAGCTGAAACGTTGGAACACGTCATTTTTTGGGTGAAATTAACATAAAAGTTATTAAATTGTAATAATAAATTTTAATTCAAAATTTGAAAACTCTACTTCGATGTAACAATAATTTTAGACAGATATATTTAGTTGGAAATAATACATTATTAAGTTAAAATAGTATGGGCCGAGTATTTTTTTTTCAACTAAAAATATTTGCTGTAAAGTATGTTCTGAAACGTTCAATGTTCGGATTTTTTAACATTTCTGTTCACAAAGTTTGTGTGTGAGATTTTTGCTTATTATATTGTTAAGTATTAAGAATTAATACCACTTAAATCTAAAATTTGTATTTTTTTCACTCTAAATATATGTGGTTGAGCTTGACAAGTAGTAAATCAGACAAACAAAATTTACGGTTGTGATAATTTCCTCAACCGCTAACCTTGTAAAATTTACAGCTTATTGGTGTGTCAATTATTAAAAAAAAAAACAGACAGCGTGACTGATTTTTACAATAACGGTGATTGGTGAATGTCGCACTCTATGATATTTAAAATGCACTATGAATTTCGATACAGTTTTTTAAATTACTGCAACTATAATGTAACTTCGAAAATCACAAACACTACATCTAAATAACAAATATTTTAATCACATTTCTGCAAACATTAGCATCTTTAATAAGCAGATAAACTGCAGTTAAAAATGTTTTTAACATCCTCAAGGTGTATACCTGCTATTTTTATTTAATTGACAACTAATTACAACACTCAATGAAACGAGTTGCCTTTTTAAGCCGTAAATATTTTTAACAACTTTTTTTTTGTTTGGTAGCCTGTAATGACACGAATTGTTCAGCGGATAAGTGGATGTCTCGACTGGAAAGCAGTAATTGGCTGACTTACGTGCAAAATGCCCTCAATGCGTCTTGCCTGGTGGCACAATGTCTCGATCAAGATGGAGCTTCGGTTTTAGTACACGGCACAAGTGGTCTTGATTCTACGCTTTTAGTGACTTCTGTCGCGCAAGTAATTCTAAATCCCGACTGCAGAACAGTCAGAGGTAAGTTCTCAAAATTACTTAAGAGTGTTTTAAATAGTTATTTTACAGGACTACAAGCCTTAGTGGAACGGGAGTGGTTGCAGGCTGGCCACCCTTTTCAGCTCAGGCACTCCAAGAGCTGTTACTCGAATAATAGATCGAAAAGTCAGCAACCTACATTCCTTCTATTTATTGATTGCATTCACCAGTTGTATTACCAATTTCCGTGTAGTTTTGAATTTACGACACAAATGTTAGTTTTATTGTTTGAACACTCATACTTCAGTCAATTTGGTACTTTTCTGGGTAATAATGAAGCAGAAAGAGAAATAATGAAGTTATCTAAAAAAACTACGAGCTTATGGTCGTACCTCAATAGACCTGACGTGTTAACTTCTTTACTAAATCCTATGTATGAACCAAATAAAACAGCCATTTGGCCTAGTGTGGCGCCAGTGAGTATAGTATTATGGTCTGGGTTATATTTGAGATGGGTTATCAACCAAACTGATACTAAGAAAAGTTTAATTAAGATTCAAAATATTATTGACTATGATAAAAATCTGAAAAGTAAAGCTCTCAAGTTACGGAAGGAATTAATGGATCTCCAAAAAGAGTATGAAAAACTGCAAACTGAAATCGTAGAGAATAAGGCCGATTCTGATAGTAGTTAGTATCTGTTATGATGAAAGACAAGATTGAAATGTCTAGTCATTAATAAGTTACGTTTTATAAAGTATATTAGGGGTAGATTTACGGAAAGAGTTACATAGCGTTCCATGACAAATGTTCTTTTTACTATTTTAAGCAAGTCGTTATAATTTAATGAAAATTTGCCGAAATTATGTTTTAATAAAAATTTGTTGCATATTTGCATACACTGGGTTCAGCAAGAGCACAATGGTATTTTGATCAGTATATTGTTATTTACAGGTTTAAACAGTTGTAAATGATTGAAAAATCTTGTTAGTACAAATAAAGTGCATTTTTATTTACAGCTACTATTCATTTCTGCACGTTGCTATAAAACTATGTTCTTTTTTTGGTTTTAATAAATTGTTTTTTACTCACATTTGTATTAAATAAAAACGAAATGAATTTTATGTACAATATATTTTTATATTAAGCTTTTTATATTATTATATCCATACATCACTGAATTTTTTATATTATTATGCACTCACTTTTGAGAAATTCAAATATGTATCCATGAATAAAATGCATTTATTAAAATTCTGACTTTTTTTAATAAAAATTAAAACTAAAATGTTTCGTTTATATGTATATAGGGTCGCATATCTTTAAGATTTTATTACTTGAACTTTGACCTGGCAACACAAGTTTTCCGCGGCAGGTAATAAAGGTATCTAGTACTTACGACAACTGAGTTTTGTTTAAAATGTAGGAAAGTGTTCTTAATATTCCCATAAAAAAATATTTTTTAATGAAAATTTTCAAACAAAATGTGTTTAACCATAAACAGCGAAAACATTCACATTTTATGGCTTGTGGCTATCACCACTAATTATTAAGATTAATTAAGACAGCAAATTTCAGAACTTTAATAAACTTAAAAGAGAGGGAACTTTAAAAAAATGTCAGAAATATAGTTGAGCTTCAGTATTTAATAGTGTAAACAAACTGAATAATAAAAAAACTATTCTACTGTAAAACGATATACATGTATTCTATTCGTTTAATGGATATGAGGGAGTGCCTCTGATGATAAATAGTAAAAACCCAAAAAACATGATTTCACAAAATCGGTTAACCACAGAATTGTGGACTATAAAATCGTGGAAATGTACAAATCACAAAACTTAATAAAAGCTAAACTACGCGTTACAAGTACTAGTAAAATCAAAAAAAACTCAAAAATTTTAGATACAAAACAACGGCAAGCATCAAATCATGCACAACCGGAACCGTGTTGCCACAAAACCGAGGAAGTATAAAACGAAAAAGAGCAAAATAATTTTAACAAGAACCATCTCTAGAAAAAACTGTCAGCAACAGATGGCGCAGTGACCACAAAAATAATCGAGAATATTTCCTCAAAATTTAGCGATATACAAATTAAGACTTTTTGGGCATTGGCACATAGGTTAATTTTAATTCAAGATAATGTAAGATACAAACAACTATACCAGTTACAGTTCCTCTTGAGTCAATAATGAGTTGCATATTTTAATTTTCTTCTTTACAAGAAACAGTTAATGTTTTTTAGTTTTACTTATAGGGTCTTATATGGTTTACATAAAGTTGTCATTGTAAACCGAAGTGTCTACGCAGAAGTCTTAAGAAGTATTTTGAAAATGTAGTGGTTTAAACTATTTGCAAAAATTGTGTGATTCTACTTCCAACGCGATATCGAAACAGGTAAAGGAAACAACAAAAGTGGAAAATAATAATAAAAAGTAAATCAAAACAATTTAATGTAGGTAAACTTGGCGCAAATTGTTTTCGTACTATAAAAAATATTCCCTAATTATTTTAATAAAAAATTATGTGTTGTAAAAAGTATTTTTACGGGGACTTTTAATTAATGTTCCGTTTTGTTTCTTGCTTCTCTGGCATATTTGCTGCTTACAGTATTATTATTATTGTTAAAACACACGTACAGTCACTGATGAAAATAAAAGTTCAGTTGGTGGTTATTTCGTAACTTAATTTATTTTTTAAAAAAACACGAATCTCTGTTTTACTAACTCACAATTTACCTTGAAAATACACGTGATTACTCTGGGCAATTTCAAATTCATTACTGTTATTCAATTACTTTTGAAGTAACCAATAATTGTAATGAATTACTTTTTTCACTGAATAATGAGTAATTCTAATGAATTTTGTAAAACATACACATTTAAAATGGCAAAATTCATTATTTTCTTATCACCACATAAATGTGAGCTTCTTTTTTGCGTGGCTGTGTTATTTAAATTGTCAACTAATTTATATTTATTTATTATCATCATAAACACATTAAGCAACAGGCGGTGAGACTTAAATGTTAAATTTTTATATCTACTTTAAAACTATCATCAGGATCATAAAATTAACAAAATTTGTTAATTTACAGTTATTTGGAGACCAAAAAAAAAGATAATTATATTATTAATGAACTTCTTAGGTACATGCATCTATGAAGAGTCGAAAATCGTTTATTTCGTTTGGCTTCTGGGTTTTTACGATTTTACAGGAATTACTGTTCTGTACGTAATCCTTTTTGTAAATGAATTTTTAGGGGTTTTAATTTTTTGATTTTGTTTTTTTTTTGTTTCGCATTTTTTAAAATAGCGCGTTTTGTTTTCGATTTCGTACTACTTCTCTTTCAGAGAACTGTTCCAACTTGTTCTTTATTACAATGGTTCATTCTAAAGTAACAAATGAGAATATTTTACGAATGTTTGCAGCTTTAATCAATAAGTTTTTGAATATTAAACAATAGTTTGAAACAGTTATATTTAAACATGTTTTCTCTTTTGTGTTTACTAGTACCTAAGTAATAGAATAATTTCAAAATTGTTAATGTATTTCTGTAGTAGTTTTGTATAGCAAGTCAGCTGGTATTTGTACATGATTGCCTATTAATTAGGGAACTTTAACTTCACTAATGATAAAATATGTTGACAAAAAAGAAAAAAAAAAACTTTTAAAGACTTTGATGTTTTTTCTCTTAAGTTTAGTCTGGACAAAAATCGAATATTTGTAACAAATTCACTTTTAATTATTGTGAACAATTCAGTTGCAATTGAAAGACAATCTTCGTCTGAAGTGCCGTTATCTTGCCTAATTAAGTCAAGAACAATAAGTAAACTCCGCCAGAAAATTCACACGCTTGTTCAATCCTCACCCAATTATGTTCAAATTTGTCAGAGCCAATACCTACATAACAAAAAAATACAGCTGGAATGACAAAATTTAATTATCAACGGTCCTCGAGCACTGATTCAGAAACCCCCATCGTGTTTTTCTGTTTTGCTCCACCTGAACAAGTCATGTTTCAAAACAGGAATTCTCAAAATGTCCCCTACTCAACAGGTGTGCACAATATCAAAGCAAATCACTCTTTCCGCTCAAACTGTCATCGATTCCATCGAAGAAACCCAAGAAATTGCTTGATTTGTACAAGGGTTAAAGGCTGTCCGGACTCGGTAACCCTCTAAGCAATAACACGTACAATGGTCTACATATTATGCAAATTTATTCCGCCCGTTGAGGGTGCCGCCGGTTTGGTGTCCCTGTGCAAGAGGGTCTTCCAAACAACGTGCAAGACAGACGTATGTTCAAGGCTGTCCCTGTCCCACCACATTCTTCACCGACCGTTGCTAGTTCTTCGCCTCTACAACTGTTGGCTTGTAGTGAAACTGCATCTTCCTTACTATTGAGCGTTAGAAACAATATATGAGGATGAGGAGCGGTTAGACAGGCGGCTGAAAACAGATAATTTATTACTGTGACTAGGAATAGAGCAGAGGTACATGTTGGCGCCGTCAGCGACGAAAAATTGCAAGAACGGTCTGAAAGCTATAAAGCAGAGTGAAGGCTTTGGAATGCTAATTATGCGATTTGGTTAAGTACTTTGTAATGGCATTTAGGAGGAAAACAAATGAGTACAGGAAAGAAGGGCTAGTCAACCATAGGGACAATCATTGGCATTTAAAGTATTTAAATGCAGACATTTAAAGAGATTTCCGGGTTTTCATGAACCACACTTTTAATGTTACGCCACATTGCTTGATTTTCTTGGGTATGTATCTACATACACAGATATGAGGATACTCAGCCTTACAACAGATTTTTTAATATATTGTTTTTGAATTTTGATATTTATAAGACTGCATGCATGTACACTTTTCCAAATAAATATTGGCCATTATGAGTTATTAACTGCCGAATTTGTAAACTCTGGTAAACATCTCATACTATAGAATAGATAAGCTCATTTTTGGCGGTTTTAAGAGGGTGACGATGACCATGAAAGGAAACTGTCATTAATAAGTTTAAATTTATCTGTAGAGTTTATACAAAATTAAAAAAAAAAAGTAAGATCAACAGTGGAAACCATAGCTTACTCTCATTTGTAGTAAATTCAAGACCGCTAAAAAATGTAAGTTTTTTAAATTTATCCTTGTTAGAACAGATACACAGGGTGAGTCACTAAGCAGACCGTCGTTGAGTCGTTGATACCTCATTAATTATTAGAAATGGAAAAAAGTCAGAAGACTGAACTCGTATGATTATGCACTAGTTATTTTCAGCTATACAGAGTGTTTTTTTTCTGACGTATAACGGTGTAACATACAACTTCGATTTTTTAAATGGACCACCGTATATATTTTTACATATTCCGATTGTCCTCTTCTTAGCTTTTACAACCACAGTTTATTTTTGAAATTACGATGCAACGTTGCTACAGTACATGTTATCCCTATTTCCTTTTTTAGCAATGCAAGAGTTCATAAAAAAACACAGAGGTGTTATTTTTAATATAACCTGTCATGCAATATTTTATGGACAGATAGGTAAATGTATGTCCTTTGTTGTGGTATCAATTAAACCAAATTTTAATATACATAAAATATCATAAAAAATCTAAAACAGTACACATCGGCATTTTTCACATAAAACACACCTATTTTATACAAAGTACATTTTAATGTTTTTTATTATTTTTTGTTTGTTAACAATTTTCTATATCTAGTAGTTTCTACGATTTTCTACTTTTTTCGAGATACATCAACATACCAAAAAAGAGAATAATTAATAGAGTAAGATACAGTATTAAAATACGTGTTCTATTAAAAAAAAAAAAATGGAATACCAATATTTAAAAATTGTAATATTTAAAAAAAAAATTATAATCTCTGTGTAGGTATTTAAGATTTAATTTAATTGTTTATCTCTAGAAAATAATGCGTGTTTTGTTTGTGAACCTTTGCATTGCTAAAAGACTGATCTAAGGTTACAATAGTAATAATAACAATAATACGCA